TTATTTATTAGACTCTTACCCTTTACTATTTACTATTTGCTATTTACTATTTACTATTTATTTATTAGACTCTGCATCGTTGATTTATTTTTGCTTGAAGAAAGAACGTCCAGTTCCAACTTATCCCATTTTTAGAATTAAAAAAATTCCTAACATTTCTCAAAATGTGAGCTGACCCCTGTTTGACTGTTTCCCTGTCTTCTGTCTTTGATCGCTTTTCTGACTGTGGATGCATGTTACAAAAAAAAAAAAAAGGAAAAAAAAAAACAGCAACGCGGAGAGGAAGAGATGGGTGCTAATGTAGATGGGAAAAAAGTTCTGGTAAGTTCTTTTTTTTCTGTCCTTCGCTTCCCCGATACACATTTTTCAAATTTTAATGTTTTTTTTTTTTTTTTTGTGGGGCTGCGCCACAGTTCGCCGCAGTGCAATATGAAGGCACCGCTGGAGCCCTCCCCAAAAAAACTTAATAGGCAAGCCTACCCGTGTGGAAAAAAAACTATTCAATATCATTTGGCCCGATGGACCACGTGTTAGGTATTAAAGTGATCACACAACAGATACTATACTTGATCTTAACCATAAGGCCGAGAAAGGTTTGTGATTTTTTCGTTAAACCAGTTTTTTGTTTGTTTGGTCGCCTTTTTTTTTTAATTAATTAATTAATTTATTATTATTAATTTTTTGGTCGCCTTTAATCGTCATGTTTGTTTTTTGTTTGTTTGGTTGCTTGACCTCTTTACCGTTTTTTAAAGTGGCTACACCATATCGTGCTGCCGCCATCTTAGTACATAATGTGAATTGACTCCCTCTCTCTCTCTCTCTCTTTTTGTTCAGACTAGTCATCTTTATTTCATTTTACCTGTAGGAGATGCAGCACCCCTTTAGACTATCGGGCAGTCTGCACACTCTTTTAGCCCAGCAAACCATCGGAAGGGATTGAATAAGTGCTAAAAGTGTTTGAGAAGGGTTTTGAAAAGGGTTTAAAAAGGGTTCAAAGGTGGGTTACCAGTCGGGCTGCCCGGGGAGCCCGGCTGGGCAAGGACCAGGCAATGTCTTTTCGCAAAAAAAAGAAGAAAAAAAACCCATGTTATACAGAGTAATAAACTGAACAACTTTTGCCTCAGGGTCACTTTGAAATTCTTAACCAGATTGGGGGAAAAAATTAAATGAGGAATGTTTTATTCTGGCCTGGATGGGCAAGTGGTCCAGGGCAACTCTGGTAGCCTAGGTTAAGAGGGTTTAAAAATGCAGTCTGCACACTCTTTTATCTGGTAGCCTAGGTTAAGAGGGTTTAAAAATGCAGTCTGCACACTCTTTTATCCCAGCAAGCCAGATTTATCGGAAGGGATTTAAAAAGGGCCTAAACGGTTCGAAAAAGGGCCCCGGGGGTTCGAAAAGGGTAAAAAGCTGGGCTACCAGCCGGGTGGCCCGGCCAGGCGAGGGCCTGGGCAAGGTCCTTTGCGCGAAACAAAGTAGAAAAACTACGTTGCGCAGACTAATAAAGGGCCTAATAAAGTTAACAACTTTTGCCTCAGGGTCACATTGAAATTCTTAACCAGATTTAGAAAAGAAAAGAAAGTTATGGTACGGCTGGGCAAGTGGTCCCGGGCCACTCTGGTAGCCTGGGTTAAACCACCAGTACTTGGCCCAGCTATCGGCCGCAGAAAAAAAAAGAAGTGTAGAAACGTTTCTAGTCGGATGAATTCTGGCGCTCCTGTAGTGGCCCGTATGTTTCCTAAAATCGTGGCGCGTTAATGGGCACGACTCGAGGAAGTACTGGTGGTTTAAGAGGGTTTAAAAGGGTTTAAAAAGGCAGTTTGCACACTCGTTTAGCCAAACAAGCCAGATTTGCCCTGTAGGGTTTAAAAAGGGCTTAAAAGGTTGTACAGGGTTCCTGAGCTGTCAGACCTGGTAGGCAGAAAAAAGAAAGGATCGGTCAACTGCGGGGGCGGAGGGAACGCAGCCCTAAGAACCTCTTTTTTTTTTCTGTTGGCATTCTGTCTAAAAAGTGAAATAAGATATCTAGAAAATGTAGTAAATTAACTTTTGTCCTTGAACAAACCACCAGTACACGCCCCCAGCCTTGCAGAAAAGTAAACTTGTCGCCACAAGAGAAATTCGAGGCTCGGGGAAGGCAGGGTAGTGTGTCGGGGGAGAAAGAGGTTGGCCCAGCAGAAAAAGGCAAATGGACTGTTGTTTTGCCCGCTGGTACACGTTCAGTATGTGACTGTGACAACACGTGCACGGAAGAGGCCCAGCTATAGCCAAAAAAAAAAACACCCTGAAACAGAAGGAACAGAGTGGCAAAACACCCGCCACATGGCGGGCATGCACTATACGAGGGCAGAAAGCCCTCAAACTTCAGGAAAAAGGTCAGAAACGCCCGCTGTAGGCAAGTATGCAGTGATTCACAGGTTATGTATCCGCGCCCATTCTGTGTCCGCATATGGGCGCAGAAAAGTAAAGTGTTCCTGCCTTGTTGGCACCGAAAAGAAAGGAAAAACGAAAAAAAAAAAAAAGCTTGTTTTTTTTCGAGTGCCTGCCCGAGGAGAACGGGCAGTGCTGTGGGAATCCAGGTGTGTATCTGGCTCAGGAAGTGCACACTATGAATCTCGTGTGGACCATGTGGCAGCACAGCTGTCAAAGGACAAACTAGGTGCCCTAAGATCTTGCCGACAATCTCGTGTCCTAAGGTCCTCTGCTTTATTTTTTATTTTTTTGCTTTTTTGGGAAAGCTCTGCTTTATTTTGTTTTCAGCTGTAAGGGAAAATTATATACCACTGCCCGCTCGTTTTGCGAACAGGCAGCCATTCATGATGAGGTGCCTGCATCTGGCACCCGATATGTGCTACATGCGGGTGCTCTCTCCTGTGGGTGTTTGGCTGGGTGTCAAGTAGTGAAAACAGCGGCCTCCTTTTCATTCCATCGCCTGACAGCAGGTCCAGCACAGAGGCCGGTACCGGTACCACCCCAATTTTCCAAGAGCTGGTGCCCATGGCTTTCAGGCTTGGCAAAATTCAAAATTTAGGCTCGTACATTTAGGGTCGGGTGTACTGGTGGTTTAAAACTATTTGCAGCATGCGGCTTGGTACATTACTGTACTGCTATGTACGCAATAGTTCTACTACACTGTACGCTCATGGGCATAGTATTCGTACTATTCTAAGTAGTTAGTAGCGTACAATCATGGACTTAGTACTAGTACTATACTAAGTACTTAGTACTGTGTTCATGGACATAGTACTTAGTACTTACTATGTACGCAATTGTTATGCTATACCAAGTACTTAGTAAAGTTCATATTATGTACAAAAGTGTACTGCTATATACACAATAGTGCTACTACGGTGTACATAGTACTAGTACTATAGTAGTGTACTGCTAAATACACAATAGTACTACTACAGTGTACATAGTACTAGTACTATGCTAAGTACCTAGTACAGTGCACATTATGTACATACAGTGCACATTATGTACATACAGTACACATTATGTACATACAGTACACATTATGTACATAACTGTACCGATATGTACACAATAATACTACTGCACAGTAGGATCATAGACATAGTAGTAGCACTATATGCAGTGCAGTACATGTGTACTGGCCATAGTTTACTGAGTGGTACGCACTACAGCGCTATCAGACGGTGAGTACTGTTCAGTAGTGAAGTTCTGCTACTGCTAAAGTTTTGTACTGTATTCTATACTGTGTGAAGTTCTTCTAGTGCTTTTTGGGTTTGCACTGCACCTCGGGTAATGGATGGTGTCTTCTGGCCAAGCTGGGACATGACTGACCAAATTGTTATCGGTAATGATCGCATCTCTCTCTCTCTCTCTCTCTCTCTCTCTCTCTCTCTCTCTCTCTCTCTCTCTCTCTCTCTCTCTCTCTCTCGTTTCTGTGTGGCAGGGCCAAGTTCTTGAAGAGAAGGTGTTACAGGTAGCACGGGCTGTGGAGGATGCAGTCGACGAGGAGATCGGCCAGCTGGGACGTCTTGAGAACGATAAAGATGACTTAGACCAGCTCAGAAGAGAGAGGCTACACCAGCTGAAGAAATCAGCCGAGAAGCGCCAGGCATGGATTGCCAATGGCCATGGGGAGTACACCGAGGTGCCTTCAGAGAAGGCATTCTTTGCTGAAGTCAAGAAGAGCGAGCGTGTCGTGTGTCATTTTTACAGGGATAACTGGCCCTGCAAGGTGAGAGAGCGTTTACTGATGCTTTAAAGTTTTAACCACTAGTCCCTTGGAGCCTCTTCCCCCCCCGTGACTGCTCACCAATTCCTGCTGAAGCTCTGCGGCGTGCAATTTGATTGGCGATGCCAGCCTTTTCCGTCCATTTGGCGCGACCGGTCAATTCTGTATTTGGTTAATCACTGCATTGGCAGAAAATAGCTGGAAAAGGGACTGGTGGTTTCTTTTCTTTTTTTTTCCTTTTCTTATTTTGCTCGTTTCCCCCCCCCCCTCTCCTCCTTAAGCCTGTCAAGAGTATTGAGTACTAATATGAATGATCTTTGTCTGTTCATCATCTGTTCTCTCCATGTCTGCTGCGTGTCTCTTTTCTTTCTTTCCCGATCTGAATGTCACTGTCACCTTTGACATCGATTTGCCAAACTAGGTTGTGGATAAGCATGTTTCACTGTTGGCGAAGCAGCACCTGGAGACGAGGTTCGTAAAAATAAATGCGGAGAAAAGTCCATATCTGTCCGAGAAGTTGCGCATCGTTGTACTGCCGACGCTCGCGCTCATTAAAAATGGGAAAGTGGAAGACTACGTGGTAAGCCAGTAATCAATCCCCTCAATCCATCATGGTTCCCATGTGGCTGAATATGAAGGGGGTGCATAAGTAAATGAATCAATATAGCTGCGAAAGGGACTGGCGGTTTGAAGTTCCGTTTTTGATTCACACAACCACATAAAGAGTGACTTGTGTTTTTATGTGGTTGTGTAATGACCTGCCAAACACGGACTGAGACAAACAGCTGATTTCTGAGTTTTGCTCATGGAATGTATGCCTTGCTGAGTTTCCCGCTTGTTTTCTAAGTCTGTGTGTGTGCGTGCTTGCTGGTCTGCATGCCTGTCTGAGTGCTTGTCGGCTTGTGTGTGTGTGTGTGACCCGCAAGGGCACTTGTTTGTTCAGAAGGCCCGAAGGGATGGTACTTACCTGCGGCCGTGACATTGAGGGCTGCAGCGGGGAAAACACTCGAGTGGCGGGGAAAGAGGCCCGCGGCACTTGGAGCAGGGGAAAAACACTCAAGTAGCAGGTAGGCTGGTACCACACCAGGTAGAGGTAGATGTGCCGGGTACTCGAGGCCGAGCAGATAGAAGACAAAGTTGGCATTTTTAGAGGCCCAGTAGTTGTAGGCTAGGTCTAGGTGGGCACCAGTCCAACCAGTCTGAGTCTAGGGCCTGTACGGGCAATATCAGAGTCTGCAATGATGTTTCACTCCGAAAGGGAGGAGGTACCGGTTGCTTAGAGGCCACACGGCCTAGGAAGTCACTCGCCAAGAGGCAAGCAGGCCGCTATATCTCCAGAAGGAGCAAAGTGCTCCTCCTCATTGTCGCTGTGCAAGTTTGGCGATACACTGGTTGGAGCGCTGGGTGGAGCAGCGCTAGCATCAGAGCAGCGCTGCTGGGGAGGAGCAAGGACAGGAGGAGGAAGAAGACCAGGACTAGGAGGGAGGAGCGCCAGAGGTACTTGCCTGGCTATGGTGGATGCCATCTTCATCACCTTGGTGGGTGCTGCATCTGGAAGGCCCCCATTGGGGTAGAGCTACACCAAGAAGCTTCGAGGCAGAGTCAGGCATGGCGGCCTGAGCTAGAGCATCCATAGCTGCTTTGTGTTGTCCTTTGGACAGCAGGGCGATGCCTGGTAGTCCGCCATAGCCTCGGCCGTGGAAGAAGGCGGAAGAAGTGTGGCCATGGACGGCTGTGCAAGGGCAAAAGAAGGCCCCAGCAAAAAAAAAAAAAAAAAAAAAAAAAA